CAGAGAACCCCAAGGACTCCACAGTTCAACCCTGAGCTACACATATTCGCTTCTATTAAATAATGTACCTTAGTTTACTGTTGCTCAGATAGGTGAAATTAGACTGCATATTTTGAGAACTCCACTAGATGGTGATAAACACAAGATGCCAAGAGTAGCTTAAATTTGATAATTTTGTTAGAGATTGTTAGAGATTTGTTAGAGATAAAATATTTTGCAATCCACTGCCTAAAATTTGCTAAACTATGTAATTTAATGACACTTATTTGTGAATCCTATTGATTATAGTAGGACTAATCATTTCAAAGCCTTTATTCCAGGTGTTTCTCAGAAGATACTAATTTAAGTTTCATTTTTTAACTTGTGGGTTTTTTTTAAATTTGTCATGCTCTTCCCTTTCAATAAACTCTCAGTTCTAAAATTAGGTGTGACTTGAAAATTGTAGCATGACATACATAGAATCACAATGATTACATTAAATTAAAATTTAAATTTTAAGGATTTGCATTCTGGTATAACAAGCAGTCTTGATTGTACAATGATGTTTAAGTTGTTAGTGGAAGGAGCAAATAAGATAGATGTAGAAGTCATTCTTCTAAATATTTTAGTATTTAGAGGCAGGGCTCAACACACATTGTTTTAAAATTGATTTAAGTAACCCAGCGAATTCCAGTTACTGTAAGGATTAGAAATTAAATAATAATTTCACTAAGTCATTCTGTGGTTTGGTTTTTTTGGCTTAGCATAATATGTGATCCTATCCAATGTAACTTAGCATTATGAATCAACTAGAAAACCATGGCTTATTCAAGAAAGTATTGTTAAAAAGTCCTAGGTTAACATGAAGCATGAATTCATTCTGTCCGCCATTCTGACCTGGTATGCTTTAACACGGCCAGAAGAATACGCTCCTAGGAAACTGTACTTGCTGAGATTTGAATTAGAGAAAACGCTGTTGACTTGTGCCATGGGATAAAAAATGGAATAGAACGATTTCTTTTATTAAATATTGTTTCTGCAGGAAGAACTATTTTATAAAAACGCATAATGAATAATGTAGTCAGGCAAACATCCCTGGCCTGGATATAAAATATGAAAGCATATTTAAAATGCTATGCTTTCAGAGCATTCATTAACACTTACATAGGATAAGAAAATGTTACTCAGTCATGTCTCAAAATATTTACCAGTATTCCAGTAAAAACAATTTTTAAAAGTATATAAATATCTTTGTATCTAACTTATAAAATACTCAGGGTGTACCAGAGTGCATGAGTGTTCAAATATTTATTATTAGGGGTTACTTCCAAATCAGTAGATAACATTGCAATCTTAACTGTGATTTCCTGTTTTTTCTCCGTTAGCCAAACAATTTATCTGCCCTTCTTAATCATTAGATGCTTACAGGATATGTAATATTTAATTAATGTGACTTTATAAGCTCAGTATATCAGATAGAAGAATCAGGCATGATAAATTGATAAATTAAATCCCAATTCATGTAGACATTTAGGATGTCAAAAGCCCAGAAATCTGCTCCAGTCAGATTCTCCTCTCCATTCCACACAGAACGACTGTCTCCAACTGCCCTGTAGGAAGGATCCCCACATTATTTTTTTTTTTTTAAATTCTATTTTATTTATAGTTGTTGATGGTGTTTGTAAGACACTTTGATAGGATTTGTATTCTGAAAAGCAAGATAAAAGTAACTGCTGTATAAATAAAAAAAAGATTCAAAATATTTTATTACTGTTGCTAGTTGAACAGTCTTTGCATTTGTCTTGAAAAGGCTTAATTTTTTTTCTTTGTCCAAATGAGGCACATCTTTTCTTTCTTAAAGAAGCTAATAGGATCTCTTTGTTTTGGCTTACTTCCAGGTTGAATCCCAAGAAGAAATTTTAATAAATGGAGAATTTGTCCAGCAGCAAAATATTCATAGGTATGCTTTTTGTTTTTTTATACATTGCAACTGAGTCCCTTTGACTAACTCATTGAAGTCCAAGAAAATTGTTTTGGATAAGAATTAGTGTCATCCAAGAAGTGCATCTTACATCTACTTAGTATTTGGCTGTCTTTGCCAAACATACAGAATTGACAATTGGTCCAAAATGCAGAGCAGGCTGCATAGGACACTTTACTCTGATAATCATTTATTGGCTTTCGCTTGGTTTTCAGGTGTTGATTTTGAACTCTGTATGGGACAGAGAAACTTTAATCACTGCCTTTTCTTATATCTACCTACTCAAATAGGCCAGTTATTAGAGACCTTTTAACAAGTAACTTTTTTTCTCTTCTCTCAAAAATTTCAGTGAATGATTATGTAGAATGGGGCAGATCTTTCCTTTTGAAGGCATGTTCCACTCTGTTTTTAAAATTAGCCTTTCCCAGTGTTTGGGTTCTAATATGTTGGGCACATTCCCTTGGCTACAGTGGTTGGAGATTTTGGTAACTGTAGTCCAACACATGTAAACAGCTTGGGAAATTTTTCTACAAATGATGTGAAAAATGCTTTCTTGTTTTGTCTTAAGTTTGAGGATGTTTTTGAAGCAAAATAATTTCTAATGGCCTGACTATTGGGATTCCGTAAATTACTTGGCTCTTTATTCACTACTGCTATGTGTCCTATTTTATTGAGAATACTGGAATAGATTGATCTAGATTTCCATTTAGAATTTGACTGAACTGTTTTCTTGATTTCAGTAGATCGATTCTAAATATGACAAAATCTGAATCTAATGCAGTGCTTTTATTCTTGTGAGTGAAAAGCTGAACTAGAAGTATTTTGGAATAGATAAGTAAGCTGTGTATGTTAAATAGGTATATTATAGGATGAAAATATCATAGAATTTCCAGTTAAAGAAAAGTATATTTTGGAAAGCTATTATCAATTAACTTATCTTCCCTATCTAAGTGCTGATGGATTGAGGCCCTTGGCCCTAGGACTTCTGTATTACAATCAGTTTTTTCCTGTGGTCTACTTGCAGTAAGCCCAGATCCAGCTTTTACAGAGAGGCCCATAAAATTCAGGTCATAATTCAGATAGCAAATAGTAATGATGTCTAGCTTGAGGCATATTGAAGGAATGTTTTTACTGTAACGCTTATAGGTTTTGCTTTAGTTAGAAAGTGATTCTCAGGTGAGTAAAAAGAGATAATCACTCCTTTTGGTTTTACAGCTGAGACATATATCACTTAAAAAGAATAACTCTCAACTTTTATATGGATCTTATCACAGCTGGCAATTAAGCAATATTTTAATGTCAGTACTGCAGGTGGATGTTGGACCCTTGTTATAACGATGGCCAACAATGAATTGTGCATGACAGTGTCATCACGCATGTGTCACAACTTATGTACTTGTGTGATGACATCACTGTGCACATGTCACTTTGACATCATCAGAGTTTGCTGTTGATTCTAGTAATCATGACAGCTGAAATGGAAACAAATGGCAAATTCTGCTACAGTCTGATGAATGGCTTTTGGGGAAAGGCCTGTCTGAAGAATCTAGCTTCTTAACAGAAATGACAGGATCTTGCTTTTCTTTTCTTTTCCTGATCTAATGGAAAACTACTTAAGATGCTACTCCATATAAAAAATGCATAAAAAATATGAACACTTTCTCTCATAGCCATTTACCTCTGCTGAATTACTAAGCTATCCTACATAATATTTTAATAATGAAAATAGGGTTGGGCATGGAATTATTTTATTCCCTATTTTTGTTTCTGATGGTATCTTTTTAAAAAATGTTTTTATTGTGAGCTGCCCAGAGTTGTTGGGAGTTCGGCAACATACAAATTTAATAATAAATAAATAATCTGTGGTAGAAGCAGACCCATTAAAATTAGTGACATGTACCTTACACATGTGAGCAAAGACAAGATTGTTCATTCTATCGCTCTTTTAGCAATTATAATAGTATTTTTGTTTGCTTCTTGCTTCAAAATTATTTTTGGCAGTTGAAGTCAGAGGGGGCTCCAAAATTTGCAAAAATAATGCACTTTGATGCCAGATGCAGCCAGATACAGTTGCATTTTGTTCACCCACTGCCTTTTTCGGAATGCTGTTGGAAACTGCTTCTTGGCAGTATTTACCTTTTGGCATTAGCAGCTGCTTGAATAATATTCCTTGCAAGACTATGGATGAAACAACAACAGAAATCGGCATGGTGACTAAGTAGAGCAAACCTGTCTACTGCTAGTGTATTGCTGTTAATAAGGAAGATGTGGGGCAGTTAAGTCTATAATACTGTAGGTTGAATAGAGACCAAATAGAGATGGAATCCAGTCACTGGTCCTTTCTTCAAAGGATTATTTATGCAATTGGAAGTTAAGGCAAGAAAATGCCACAGATCTCAAAAAGGCATCAAAAAATGTAACCATTGAATTGATATTTTCAGTTCTCGCAAATGCATTTTCCTTGTTTTCCACTTGAGGGAGGAATAGGACTTGATTACAAGAAATTATTTTATTTGGGACTTGCATTAGGAAAAAAGCCAGGAAGTGGAGATGTAAAAGTATATTTGGTTTCCATTCTATTGCTGTCTCACTTTTGTTCCTTAATCTTAGCTATTTTAATTAGTTGGCCAGTGTTCTTGCTTCTCCCCCCTTCCCCCCAAAGAGGTATTTTGTTAGTGATGCTATCCATCACTATCAGAGTTTTTTTAAAAAACATCTCTTTTATATTAGCCTTTTATGCAAATTAGAATGTACAGATTTTGTATTGTAAAACCAGCTGTAATTCATATCACCTGTGAAAACAGGTCTACAGCTTTTTTCACGCCTAAAGGAACTTGTTTGAAATGTTTGTTTCAGCAAGTGCCCTTTGATTTAATGTGGATGTCAATATTCACCTGCTAATATTCTTGTAAAATCTTTGTCACTTCTCAGGATGTGAAAATGTGTGATTACTTTGAATTTTTAGCTTAACAATTTTATACACTCTTGTGTAGATGTGTTGTAACATTGTATTGGGTCAAAATAATTATTTTGATGTGATTCACAACATATGTGGCATTGCTTTTGTTATAGTAAAGGGAGCAGTTACAAACAATAAAGGCGCCTACCTTTCATACCAAGCTCCTAATACACCACTGAAGAAAGGGAAATAATAATAAAACAACTTTATAGGAAAGTGAACTCTTAAAAAAAGATAATATTCATAATTAAAGAAAATACTTACTGTGGATTCTAGCTGAACACTGCATATACCGCTTTCCCTGCCTCATCTTATAGTCTCTTTCTAGGCATATTATAGATAATGTAGGCCTAAAAGGTTGGAAGCAGGAATCACACTAAATGCAAAGAAAGACTTATTTAAGACACTACGACTAAGAAATAATTCTCCCAATTGTTTTAGCTAATATTAGAAATTTTACCTTAATGGAACCTCTGTAGAATTGATTTTTCTATCCTAATCCCTATGTGCATATGGTTTTCTCCCTTGGCATCTCTCCATTACATCATTTTTTATTATTTTAAAAATACTCTTTATTTAAAATAACGTATCTGGATACTACTTGGTTCTGTAAGCTTTCTTAGAAAATAAAAACGGTATATGAAGGTATTTAGGAGTACTCTATGTTTACCTGTTCAGAAAAGAAGACAAGCCAGGAGGTAGGTTTGCTGACAGCTAGAGCCATAGCAGGAAGCAAGATCATCAGTTTGCCTTTTGATAAATGGCTGTTTTGTGGCTGGCCATCTCTGCAGCGACAGACATTTTGTTAAAACCTAAAGTTTCCTCTTAAAATTCATCCTGCAGTCATTGACCAAAAACATTGCCTATTTGGTAAAAAATTATTTAAGTAGATCTTGAAAATTATAAAAGCTAGCAGTTCAGTGCACTGAATGCCACGCTGGTAGGAAGATTTTGTAACTGAAAATATATAGTTTCTTGCTTTTTGCCTATAAGCTGCTGGCTTAATCTATGGCTAATCCTTCACATCAACAGAATAGGGGAATATTTGCCAAATGTAGTTCCCAGTGATGGGTTGACCAGATGTTTTCTGAGATGCAGATACCCTGCAGGCGTAGTAGGAATCATTCCACATTAGAAATACAAGAATTGGTATTCCTTAATTTCTGGATAAGCTATATATTATTTCACTCTAAGTAACGTCATAGCATTTTCAGGTGTATTCCCACCCTTTAAGAGGAAATGTTCCTGTTCAGGGATTCGGTCAACCTGGAATGAGAGCCCTCGAATGTTCTTTTAGATTCATCTATGAAGACACTGGCCTTATCACAAAGATACAATCCTGCCTTACAAGAAGACCAGGAGCCGCCCAGAGTCGCTTTTTGTGTGATGGGCAGCTATATAAATTTGAGAAATAAATAAATAAATTTAAAAAAACATGAAAGCCAAGCATGTATGGTTGCATCGCGAGAAACGGGCATTTATGGAGACTGAAACATCCTTCCATATGACAATATAGAATTTAATCTCATAGTGTGCATCTACTCATGACCATTGCTGTAAACTCTAATATTCTTTTAAGCTGCCCACATTTTTCAATCCTCTTATTTTAACCAGAATAGCTATCTCACACATGCCAGGTCACAATTTGAGGAGGGATTGTGTGATAGTTAAACTAGCCAATTTTGGCTTAATTACACAATCCCTCACACCACAGTTAAAATCGTGGGTTGGTTTATAGTCTCAGACACTGACGTATTTCCATTTTACTTCCAGAAGAAGACATTGTAGTGAAAGGGAATGACTGTTCTTTGCCTCACGAATTGTTAAAAGCTCATTTTGAACAGGCTTCTAGTTATTTATTTATTCCTTTCTTGTTTAATGTTTAACTTGATAAAAAAGCTTAACAGGTGTATAGCTCAGTCCATTGTTGGATTCTTCATACATACTACTTCAGGAACCCTTAGAGCAGCTCTATAAATTAGGCTTGCAACATAGTATTACCATATACTGTAATTAGGGAAAGGCTGAAAGAAAAGTACAGTGGTACCTCGGGTCACGAACTTAATTCGTTCCGTGACTCTGGTCACGACCCGAATTGGTCACGACCCGAATCAAATTTTCCCATAAGGTTCAATGTAAATACAGTTAATCTGTTCTGACCCCTACAAATTTGGTCGCCAACCAATTTTGGTCACATCCTGAATCATATTTTCCCAC